GCCCTTAAGTGGATATCCAAAACCCTGCTCAGCGAGCTCACAGCCTCTGTACACAGCCTCACGTTGGGCTAAGCAGTGATGTAATCACCAGATCTGGGTCAGGGACATGATGGGATTTTGTGTGGGCTTAAGTAAATGCATAACACAAAAGAAATTAAGAGATGATGAGAAGTAAAACAGCATCGATGGCCTCCAAGGTAAAGGTCAAATCTCACTACCAATAATCTCTCACTGACATGTCACAGTCACAGGGTCAATATACATGTTTTCTCTGGTTTTCATTACCCATAATGAAACAGCTGAGTGACTTCAAATCAACTGGGAGTAAATATTAGCAGAGAATAAAACCCATAAACTTATTTAAAAGACCCTTGAATTACACACACATCTGCTGATTTTCTCTGGTCAAGACTATCCCTTCAATCACTCAAGGGCCTTGGATCCTTCTTCTCTACGCTGCACATTAACACTTACCTGATAAGAGTGAGCCTTGCTGGTTGTTGAACACTTCCAGGTCCTCAGTGGCTTGGACAATATTTAAATGCAATGTTATTGAAGGTACCTGCAAAGCAATCCCTTTGGAGGAAAACCCAGTAGTCTCAAAAATTTATGGATCTTGTTTGGTAAGTATTTTTAAAAAGGTCGTTGAGCTGACTCTATCAGGTGCCAGAACAGCAGACCCCACATCTTTACCCCAGGATTCACAAGACTCTCATAAAAAGCGTGAGAAATAACTGTAAAAACTACAATTGAGAGAAAAAAAAAGAAGCTGGGAATGATACTTTTTTTTCTTACCACTCACTATGAGAATATTAAAAATATTTAAAAGTGCCTTGATAATTGTGCAACTACTTGCAGAGAGATACACATTTTCCCTATTTATGAACTTCTGAGTAGTCTGTTAAAGTCATTGAATATCACTGAACAGTAAAATGTACCTTTCATCTAAGAATTTCAAGACATGAGCATTTTATATTCCCTATTTCTTCAGTATTCAAGACTAATATTAGGTAACAGAATTTACAAACTGAAATAGTTAAGTTGTAGTTACTTTAAAATGCAGTCTCTCAAAATCTGCAAATAATAGATTAAAGATTTCTTTCAAAAATTACATCTATAACCTAGTATGGGAGAAAAAATTACACAGTGATGGTTTTAGGAAGGACATCTCCCAACAGAGTTTTTAAAAAAAATTATCTTACCTTTTCTATAATGGCAGTTGGGGAGATGGAAAACATAACTGTATAAATCTGTTGGATTATTGCAACGAAAATCTGGTCAGTCAGGATCAAAAGGTGAATTCTGCAACCTTCTCTCAGGTGAAAGTATTATTCTATTTGGCCCTTAACTGAAAATAATTTGATTAACAACACATTAAAAACCCCAAAACTATATGAAAAACAATGTTGGTAGTTTTTTTTTTAAAATGTTCTCTGCTTAGAAGTTTGTCCAGTCTCTCCAACACAGAAAACAGGCCAAATCTCTAGATTTTTAAGCATATCCCATTTTTTGGTTGAGATTAATTAATATGAATTAACCACAAGATGAATTAGTTTATATGATACATCTATTATACCAATGACATTTAAGTTTTAAAATTAGGAAATGAATTGACCTTGAACAGCATATGTACTCAAAATTTATAACTAAGAATATTAATCATTTAATTTTATAAAATGAACAGCTGTTCTTGTTGATTGGAAACAGCTAAAAGTAAAAAATATATTTTGTGAATGCAAAATTAAAAGTTAATTTTATTATAGAGTGTAATTTGCCAACTAGAAATAAATTCTTGAGATGTAAGCAATATATTTTTGTAATGCTCTACCCATACATCTGAAAGGTCACATGTATATTTAAATGCCATACTACTAAAAAGGTTTAATGATTTCAATTGAAAAGCTATCATAGGAGTTAGCTATTACAGATGAATATGAAACAGCTATGATGGATATACCCTCTTTTTCCAATGAACTATTTAAAAGCTTTATGGAGAAATAATATTTCCTTAAGTATTTTTTTATATTCTAAACTTTTACTTATCTCGTGTCCTAAGCCCCTAATTTTCTGCCTTTTTTTTTGGTGTGTGCTATTCTCACAGATTAAGACTTTCATTAGTATTTGACACTATGGGCTTTCACTTAATGCATCTCTCATGACAGGTTTTTAACTAATTTTGACCATATGTATTTTTAACCTGTGCACTTTCAGCACTTTCATGCTATAATTTGGTCATTACACAGATATACAAGGTGCATAGGCTACAACAATGCCACTGCCTTTTTTTTTTTTTTTTTTTTTAAATCAGATACCACCACCCCCTTGACACGGTGCTGGCACTGCCTGGGTGATGGTCTTCTGCTTGAAACCCCAATTACTTGCAGGCTTATACTCGAGTAGTAAAACTTTCAGGATTTCAGTACAAGTTGTGTCTTGCAAAATGAATAAGAACCTAAAATAGCCTGGCTAGACCAGACAACTTATATGCTGGGTAAAATCAGTCTGTCTTCCAACTGGAGAAAAATCTTTCCATAACAGTCCAGCTTAGAAACCATCACATCTACAATTACCAGGCTATTTTCTGCTACTTACACCTGCTCTAAGAGGAGCAGTTCTCTAGTTCTTAGTCAGGCTAAATCATTGAATACATTGCTTCAGCTCAGCTAGTACTTCATCTTGATCTTGGCACTTAGCAGTGAAAGGGCATTACCATGTGGCAATTATTCTATCCTGTAAGACACCTTTCCTACTCTGTTATTTCTTCTGTACTGCCACCAACAAAGGTTCTTTCCACTACTGTCCATTTTAAGTAGTTCCAATCCAAACAGAGAACTGAACAACTATTTAGTGAAAAAAACTCTCATTTAAAGAAGTCCTAAATTCTCCAACTCTACAGTCTTAATGTAACTTAATATCAAAGAAAGGAAGCAGGTTGCCACTGTATGCCATGAAACATTTTAAAAAGCAGAAACATAGTTATTCTTGATGAAATATTTAAATCCTACATCAGTTGCAAATGGAATGTGCTTTTGTCTCAAGGACTTTTTGGACTAAGGACTTTTGGATCAGTTCCATTAGTTATTTCCTGCCTTGCTGTCACTTAATCTGGAACACTAAAGGTATCTTCTACGTAATATCCCTCAACAACACACTTCTAGAGCCTAAATCTTTGGCAAAGGAATGCTAACTAATGAAGCTAAACATATTTCTCACAAGGTTTTCTATAAAGGACAGATTATAGAAGATTCTTCAATAGTAAAGAAGGTAATTGCTTGGTTCTTAATTTAGTAAGTTGACCCTAAGAATATGGTGTGGGAAATTAATTTAAAACCATAAACATTAAAATATTGTTAAGGAGCTGTACCACGGTAACTGTCCATTAGCTTCTCATTATTTCAGATATGAGGGGTTTCTTTGTATTGTCTCATCTCATTATTCCCTGAGAGAATATATTCTTGGCAGTATCTGACATACATACAAACTCATCAGTTTTACACATCCTGTCATCACAAACATTTATCAAGCTGTGTTTTTTCTTGATTCAGAAATCCATGGCTAAGGGTATCTCTATCAGTAGGGTTGTGCCAAAACTTGTTTGACAATTGCCACCAGAGGATCTCACCTGAAGCTGAACGGTTCCAGATTAGTCCTGGTGAAGTTTCAAAGGCACTTTTTACTTCACTGTGTCATTAGGTAATCAGAAAATTAAGCCGACTTTGTAAAAATATGACAAGCAAATAACGTATTTTCTGTTAAAATGCAAAGTTTAGCAAATTAATGATCAGGTTGCTCATTTGTTTGGCTATACAGATTTCAGTTAAAAAAAATAAATAGGGAACTCCTTGCAGTAAAAAAGGTCATTATTGTAAAAGAAATATGCCTAAACTCATACTTACGTGATGCCCAGAGAGAGAGAAGGAATCCTAAACGCTGTCACCATCTAACAGGCACTTATAAACAGTTTTGGGCCAAGTTTCTGCCCCTCTGCAAGACAGTCACTGCCACTTCATCCTATTAGCAGGATAACAAATATCTCACCCTTATATTCTGCATTTTTAGGGAAAGTTAACATTTTTGGCTATGCTGTGCCACAGACTACTTCAGGACAGGAATGGCTGCTTGTGACTGGCCCTGTGGCCTAGACATCTCTAAGAAGAGGCCGCAATGCACACGATGTGCACTGACACTGACTGCTGCCCACCTCTGTCAGTCTGTAGAACATGACCTGTATATTCACACCCACCAGGCATTTCTTTCTTCTCTCTTTAAGCTTCATGCGTAGGAAACAAAATAGTGACAATAATTTAAAAAAAAATAACCAAAAAAAAAAACCAAAAAAACCCAAACCCACCAACCAAAGCCAACAGGCAGGCCGGTCTGAAGCAGCTATGGGGATTTTCAAAGGTGTTTACCACGAGCAGCTCTCAGGTCCCAGTGCGCTGGGCTCGGCTAGGCCGCCACGATGGAGCCGGAGCCGATCAGCCGCCCCAGCGGGAAATGGTGGGAAGGGGCCTGGGGGAGGATCAAACGAGACCGACGCGGCGGGACCGTCCCTGCTGACCCCGATGTGAACGTGTTTATTTCACGCTGCGGTCGCGGGTCGCTTTACAGAAACATCTCATGCTGGTCCCCGCGCAGGGCCGAGGACGGAAAGGAACACGTGTATTCAAACGTAACTATTAAATAACCTGTACACAAAACTTCAGTCTTTTACCCTGAAAGCACTGAGGGCCGGGCCCTGGCGGGGCCACACCGACACTGCCACCTCACCCCTGGGTGCCCCTAAGCCTCGACCCCCGCGGCTGGGCCAGGCTGGCCCTGCTCTCGCCCCAGCACCCGCAGCCTCTGCTCAGCCGCACTCCGGGGGAGCCGGGCACCTGTCCCGGGACAGAGCCGGGACCCTACGAGCGGCCAATCCCGGGCCTGAGGGTCCGCGGAGGTCGCCCGCAGCCGAGGTCCTGCTCGCCGGGCCCGAGAAGAGTCCGAGAACCAGTCGCCCTCCCCGCCGCCGCCGCCCCACCCCCGGTGGCGGAGCACCCCCAGCCCGGGTACCGCCGCCGCTCGGCTCGGCCCTCAGGGGCGGCGGCCGCCGGCGGTCCCGGGCTGATGCCGGCGGTCACAGGTCGCGGCTGTCCTCCCGCTTGACGCTGTCCGCCGCCGCCTTCAGCTTCTTGTTCTGATGGGTCTTGACGTGCTTGGCCAGGTGGTCGCTGCGCATGAAGCGCTTCCCGCACTCGGGGCAGACGAAGCGCTTCTCGCCCGTGTGAGTCCGCAGGTGCCGCTGCAGCTCGTCGGAGCGGGTGAAGCTCTTCCCGCAGAAGAGCCAGTTGCAGACGAAGGGCCGCTCGCCCGTGTGCCAGCGCAGGTGCGCCTTCAGATGCGAGGTCTTGCCGTACACCTTTCCGCAGCCGGGGATGTGGCAGATGTGCTGCTTCTTCTTGCCCGGCTCCGCCTCCGGGGCGCTGCCCGCGGCCGACTGGCAGTTGGGGCAGCGGCAGCGGCGGCACCTCCTGGCCGTGGCCGCCAGGGGAGACTTGGTCTGCAGGAGGGCGGCGATCTGCGTCTGGTACTGGGCGAAGTCCGAGTGCCCCAGCACCAGGCTCCGCGGCAGCGCCGCGGCCGCGGGGAAGCGGTGGCCGCAGCCGCCCGGGGCACCGGCCTGCTGGATGCTCCACCAGGGGATGTCCTCGGGCGGCGGGTTGGGCGACAGCTGCCGGCAGGGCTGAGCGGGCGGCAGGAGGTTGGAGTACCCGGGCGGTAGGGCGGCCTGAGCGGCGTAGGGGACGTAGGCGGGCGGGCAGCTGGACGGCAGGGCGGCCATGGAGGAGGGCAGCATCTTGACGGGGGAGAACTCGTAAGGGTAGGACGGGTCCGCCGGGGGGGTGAGGGGCAGTTCGTGCGACCCCCCAAAGGAGGGCTGCAGGTGGTTCTTCTGAGGGGTCAGTCCCAGGCTGGGGTGCGGCGGCGGAAGCCCCCCCGGGGAGTGCGCCGGCATCTCGCCGCTCCACGGATGGAAGATCCTGGAGGGGGATCCCAGCGTCGGGTCGTAGGAGACCGGCAGGAAATCCGAGGGCGGTGCGCCTGGCTGTCCGATCCGGCTACAGGTAGCGGCCAGAAGAGCCAGGGGCGAGTGCTTGGCCAAGTCTGGGGAGGCGCTGGGGGTGCGGTCCTGCACAGGAACGGGAGGGAGGGAAAGAGAGAAGAGAGCGCGTTACTCGCCGCCCGCCACCTCCGACAGACGGGAAACTTCCCGCGCTGCTTCCCGTGCGCGGCCGGGCTCGCCCCGCCGCTCCCGCACGGCCGGCAAACTTTCGGAAAACAACGCGCGCCCAGAGGGCAGGACAGGGCCGGCTCCCCCGCCCCGCCCCGCGACCCGTGCAGCCGGCTCCGCCACCGCTCCTGGGCAGGAGAAGCGGATGCTGTGGGCAGGGGCCAGTCCCCGTGCCCCTCACCCTCCTTCCCCCGGCGCACTGTCCAGAGTTACTGCCGGGCTGCTGGCGGGGGAGGGAAGTTGCCGGCCCGAGGAGCCCGAGCCCGGCCTCCTCACTCCCGCGGGGGTCGCCACCTACCTCTTCGGGCCGCCCGCGGGGTGAAGCCCCAGGAGGGGGGCCGCTGCCGCCGGCTGCCCCCGCGCAACGCGGGTCACAAAAGCGGGACACGGCGCCGTGCGAGCCGCACCGGCCGCGGGGCGGGTACTGACCTGGAGGAAAGCCTGGAGGGAGTCGTTCCGGAGGACAGCCACCGCGGCCATGGCTACTGCGCCCGGGGCGAGGGGAAGGCGACGGGGCACTGCCGAGGCATGAGGACGCCGAGGGGAAGATGAGAAGCTGCCCAGTTTCCTTCTCTCTCCCCCTCTTCTCTCCCGTTTCTTCTGATCTCTTCGCCTCCGTGCGCGTCCCACCCCCCCGCGCTGCGCGATCTCCGCGGACTGTCTGACTGCGCCAGGATCACCTCCAAGAATTTGATAAGGACTTTGCTGGGCCGCCAACCAGTCAGAGGGAAGATTTATGGCTTTGAAGTTTGCCGCTACCCAATCATCAAAGAATAGCGGCTCTTTCAGAAGCGAAAGCAAATCCTTTGAATCCACAAAGCTCCTATGGTGTGTTTGTTGGTCTGGATAAAAGAACTGATTATTAGGGGGGATGGGAAGGGAGGAGATAAAGGCGGGACAATTAATGAAGTAATCACTATGTGGGAAATGTATATACACAAATAATTGGATTTTCTTGATCAAAGGACCCCTTACCGCCTAGAGACCCTCGCCTTGGATGTGCAAGACACTGGATTCCCCCCTCCTTTTTTTTTTTTTTTTTTTTGGGCAATTAAGGATTTGTGGCAGAGCCCTAAAGTGACAACGTGTCTTTGTTATCGCTCTAGAAATCTGCCTCCAGATCCCTCTGATAGTGTTTAATGACCCAAAGTAACAGAGCACATCGAGTTCACCTGATCGGGGCTGGTCGATCCCAGCCGTAAAACTTCCCTGGAGTAATTGTCGGTGGTTCCTCCCCGCTCCCTCCCTCCACCCGCCCTTCCCCCGAGGCTGAGGGATATGCCCTCGATATGACTCCGCAAATAACCGCGCATTTTCTTCTCTGGTAGCGGGGTATGTTTCGCTTCGCTCAGCCAGCACTGCCCCCTTGTTACCGGGAGCCCCCGCCTGGCGCGGGGCCAGGGCAGGCGCCCAGCCGGGCCCGGGGAGGAGCGGCGGGCTGCCACCGGCTGCAGGCGCTCCCGCAGACACCGACGAACCGGGCAGCCGGGAAACCGAAAAGTTTCCTCTTCCCTAGCGGCAGCCCGGTATGAAAGACGTAGTTCCTTTAAATGAAGACCGGAGTCTGTGCTGGCGGGGCTGCCGAGCTGGCCTGCGCGGGTCGGGGGGCTCCTCGGGAACACGGACGATGGTGCCTGGTCTCAGCCTTACTTGCACTCCCACCTCCTGCCTCAAAGCCTAACTCGGCCCCAAGCAATCTACTTCCTCACCCTGCACCTTTCGGCCTCTGTCCATACGTGTCTATGCGTGTGTGTATGAAGGATCTAACCTTCCTTGCGTTCGACCATGTGTGAGGAGGCTATTGACCCTCTAACCAGCACCAGGCACATCTGGGTCGCAGCTTGCCGCCACCGCTGGCTGCTGCGCTCAGTGGGCCGCAGAGCTGGCGGGACCCCTCGCACTGTGCCGCCCCGCGAGGGGCAAGCGGGGCCCCGCGCTCCTCCGCGGGCTCGCTCAGCTCCGCGCTCCGCCGGGGGCCCTGGAAACGCGCTCCTCTCCTCGCCGCTTCCCCATCTGCTCCGAGGCCAACCCAAACGCCGGCCTGCTTAGTCAAGTACCAAACGAGGACATTCAGCTTCGTCCTGAGAGGGTGGGGGTGTCGTTCCGGGCAGATGCCGGCTGGCTCTGGTCCTTCGGAGCTGTTTGCACAGGTAACTCGATCCTCCCCGCAGTCGCTGGGTTCAATTGTATTCGCACCGCCACTGAAGTCTCTTTAAACGCCAGCACACAGAGATCTTTATCTGCCTTTCCTGTGGAAACAATCACCGTCCGCTCAAAGACTTTCAAGAGTTGTAGGGCTTGAATTAGATCGGTTTCTTTGAAGGGATTAAAGTGCCAAGTCCTCTCCCACGGCTCCATATTGAGTGCTGGGGAGAAGTAAAAGCTCGACCCCGTGTAACACTGATCCCCTACGCTGCAGCCTCATCAGGCTCTTCCGATTTGCCAGGTGACCGCTTCACCAGGTCGGCAACAGGGAGACAAGGGCCCCACACTCAGCGCTTTTACCACGCACTAACGCATCGAGGCTGGGCTCGCCGCTGCTGCAGGACCTTGCGGCCCGGCAGGGTCTCCCTTCTCCCTGCGAGGGTGCAGGGCTCACAGGGTCCAGCACCTCCACCCGCCGCAAACGAACACCTCCCAGCACCACCGGTGCGCGACCCTCCGGGGGCTGCACCGTGTCCACACGGGACATGGCGGGGAACGGGGAACCGCAGCGAGCCCGGCCAGCAGCGCTCACAGGCACAGCCCCGACCCCCGTCCGCAGCCGTCGGGTGCCCCGGGCTCACTGGCCAAGCTCCTGCCCCGCCACCAAAGTCGCACCGGGACAGGAGCGCACTCACTGTCCCTTCCCGTCTGAGCTGCAGCCAGGACAGCCGGAGAGCCCGACCCGCACCTCTGCTCTCTGGAGGAATAACCCGCCGGACAAGCGAAACGGCGGCGCTCGCACTTGCGTTGTCCCTAAACTTCTGTATCCCCAAACTTATGCCAACCTCGAAGTCCTGCGAGATGCCCGATTTAACTCCTACCTCGATTTTTGTTAATTCGTTTTACCTAATAACTGCCAGGAGAATACTCTGAACAATGTTTCTAAACGAAATGAGAGTAGGTAGGTAGCTCAGGAGACACTGAACACCCCGAGGTTCCCCTAAGTCTTTAAAGTACATTATTTCCCGAGATACCTCGGTGAACCAAAACGATTTGTCATGTTACAAAAGAGTTAGTGGAAAGCTGGATAAGTTTCTATACAGATGCCACAGTACAAATGCCATAAATCTGCATCCAAGAAAGCACGTTACTTAAAAATCGAGAATAAATTCTAATTTCTGGAAGAAACCAATGGGTTGAAAAATGAAACGTTGCAGTCATAATTTTCTGTACAAATAATTAGTGTTCAAACTCGGAGCATTTCAGTCTCCTGAAATGTATTCTTAATGAAGTGATGTTCAGAGCTGTCATTAAAAATGCAGGGCTGGAAGATCAAAGTACAATATTTATTTTAGAAATTTGTTTCAGTTATCAGGAGATACAGGTATCAAGGCCAAATGTCAATTCAGTTACACAAAGCACTATTTCCATAAGAAATGGGCTGCTGCTACATCCTACTGTAAAGCAAAGGGACACCAGAGATGAGTTGCAGCGCGGGAGGCGGCGCAGCGCCGGCGGTGGGTGGGGGGTGCTCCCGGCGGCGCAGCCGGGCCAGGGGCGGCTCAGAGAGCGGAGCTGGCAGGCACATCCCGGCGGGGATTTCGCCTCTGCAGTCCCGCTTTGGCCTGTAGCCGAAGGAGGCCGGTCCCCACTGGCTGTAGGGCCCGGAGCGGCGCTCTGGCCCGCCGGGGCGGCAGCGGCAGCGCCGCGGGGAGCAAGGTGGCCGGGATGCAAGAAGAGCTGGAGTCTGAATTGCTCCAGCCACGGGGCTGAGGCGCAAAGGGCCCGACTCCCATAGCCCCGCTGCCTCTACGGGTCCCTGCCTGCTATGGCGAGACCCCTTTCTCCCCCAGGGCCAAAGGGGCTCAGGCTGTGCTAGGCTGCGTGGCTACTGTCAACTGATACACAATGGATTATAAACCATGAGTCACCATCACCATTTTCATAAACAGGTGTCATTAGAATCAAGATTTTTCAAGTTCAGGTATCCCGGAGTGGCTGTACCACCATGCAGGGCTCTGTGGACCTTGGTTTGAATGCAGGTAGCAGAGAAAAAAAGACTTGGGAATAACAGCTACTTGTGTGCCAGCGGTCACTTCCATGGTTTCTGCTGGGCCTCTGCCTCCTGCGCTCCAAGCACCTCATCCTGGAGCCCACCCCAGAGCCTGTCCCAGTGATGGCTCACACAGCCACAGCCATGTCCTCTCAAGACATCCAAAGTCCCTCCAAAGACCTTCGCAGTCCCCCACCATAAACTCCCCTGTCCCTCCTGTGATCCCCCCAGTCCCTCAGCTCTCTATCTTCCAGCATAACCATGAATAACCCTGGAAGCCTGGATGGGCTCGCCACTTGCCTGGCCCCAGCTTGGGGACTGGTTGCCTTCACTGAAATACTGTTCTTTAGCAATTGTGACAAAGAATCAGAAATAGGATAATTTTTAAATGAACAGCTCTATTAACATTTAGCCAAGCCTCCTGGCCAAGTTGCCTATTGAGAGGTGGCAGAATTTAAACCTGAAAAGGCTTTAATAAGCTTGCTCCAAAAGGCAGTGTCTTCACATAACCCCTCATTCTATCTGGTTTAAAGACTTACTAACAGAAACCACCTATCCACAACAGCAAGAAGTTTCACCAGAGGGTAAATAACCTAGGTATACAGCTCCAGGCCAGTGTGGATACACTGCCAGCAGTTCTAAGTTATGTGCTATTAATTTTATTTTTATTTACTTCAGCATATTCACATTTTTACAGTAGGCAACATGACGGGCACAATAAGAGGAGTCAACAGTTCACAGAGTGCAATTTGAACATCAGTAGATGAAAATAAAAGAAAGATTAAAAACTGCTATGGTGTCTCCTGCTTTCTTCTGTGCATAAAGGAAAAACACAAACCCCTGGACAAGTTTGGCACATGTAGAGGCATATTTAGGATTTAAAGCCTTGCCTCAACATTTCCCAGTCTAGGTGTGGATTTCATGAAGATTAACAGAGGATTTCCCAAACTTCTGAAACTTGAGCTGCCCTTTAAGAAAAGTAGAACAAATTGTATGCCTCACAAAGTTTTACTGCCTGTAGTCAAAGGTTTAAATATCTTAATGTATTCCTCAGCTCCTTCCTTGGCTGGCCCTTTGTGACTCCTCCTCCTGTCTTAGGGAACAGTGGTGAACATTTTTGGATATACTTCCTTCCCTTGCTTCCATACTCTAAAAAAGAGTCAGACTCTTAATCATAACAATATAGGAAGTGTTATTCTTGGCTCCACTTGGAATGCCTGGGTTACTTTTTAGTTCAAAATGATCGTTTCAAATTCTGTGGAAACGCCTTTCTGCCTCTGGCATACATGGCTGTATTTTTGTCACAACTTTAATAGCTAGAAATGGCCTTCTATAAAACAGAAAGCAAGCCAAGACTCTGGTGAGCAGCTGAGAAGGATCTGCTGTGTGCACCCTGCTTGTCCTCTCACTTGTGGACACATTAGGTTAAAAAAGCCTCTGTATTTTTGATGGAATGCATTTGTTTGAGGAAGACTGGATGGGAACCTTTAATTTTATGACTACAGATATGTATAGCCATTTGTTCTTTTTGCATTGCAATTACTGAATATGGAATGAAAAGGTAATTACATTGTTATTTGCCTCCTTCTAACTGCAGAGAGTATATTATCTAAAAACTGGGTCTCACAATAATTAATTTTAGTTGCTTAGTATATTTATTGACAAATTAAACAGCTGTCTGTGTCTATACCGTGTTAGAACTGGAAACAGCAGAAAGTTTATTCAGAAAGATCATTGTTCAATCTACACATAAATATTGGA